TAGGCATTCTTTTATTTAATAGACTGGAAGTTTAACATGCGCCTAGATTGGCGTTTAATTATTATTTGTTTACTTATTTCAAGAAAAAATCAATATGACATTTTTTTATCTGTATGATTTAGATATCTTAAATGTAGTTGTAAATCATTTGTGAATACATTTTCATAATAATAGTATAATGTTCAACTATTTTGAATTTCTATTTTATGTTAATTACATTTACATATGGTTAAGCATTTTTATATACTCCTTTAAGATCTTTTACTCCTATATAACGTTTATTTGAAACAGTAACTCTTTTTGTATTGAAATTAGCTACTTAAAAATATAATAAATTTATTTCTCTAGTGAATCCAAATAATTCATCTCAGTGAATATGAACATCCATCCAGATAATTCACCTCAGGTTATTATATCAAGAGTAGTGTGCTCCGAATTGTGATATGAAAGAAACATAATTTGGAGATTATTAGAATCTCATAGAGAAACTGAATATAAAATAACCTGGAAGAGAAATGAAGAGGAAGAAAAATCAAACGAGAAAATATTGTAATGCAAAATTTATATTCTCAACAAGATAAAATACATGTAATCCTAACCTAAAAGCGACAACAATAATATAAACTAAACAGAAATAAAACCCAGCAAGAAAATATAGAAACTAATCATAATAGGTACATAGCGGTCTATTTGGTGACTGAGACTTCTACACATAGGCAAAGACACTTGCAGCTACTAGTTCTACTAAAATAATATAGACTGAAAAGAAATAAATCCATGCAAGAAAGTAGAGAAACTAATTATAATAGGTACATAGTGGTCAATTTGGTGACTGAGACTTATACATATAGGCAAAGACACTGGCAGCTGCTAGTTCTACTAAAATTTCAGTTGCTGCTACTCTCCTTGTGCTGAAATATCTCTAACATTGGCTTTTCATTTAATTATAACACTTATTAATAAGCACTACAAAACCTATGCCTTTAAATGATCTCAGTTAAGTTATTATTGTAAAAATTAATTTTTTAGTACAATTATACTTCAAATAAATGTCAAACAAAGTTTGAAATAGAGAATGAAAATATTATATTTGTTCTTTTTTTTCTTCGTTTGAGCGCTTTATTTATTTAACCGAAAGAATGTTAGTTCTATAATGGAAAATCAGATTATTAAATTAAAAACTTATTAGAACTTGCTTCAGGATCTTATATTTCTGATTTTGTCTGATCGATCAGTGTTTCACATTTGCCATACAATCACTAAGAAACCATTATAGAATGGATGACATATATGGTTCAGATGGCCAAGATGACAAAGGTGACATTGTCAGTTGCAAGAGTAATATTTATAGGGAGAAATGTAGAAGGGTTACATAGTAGATAGTGTTAATTGGGTGGAGATAACTCTTGGTAATAATACATAGAAAGTTAAAATATAATATTATTATTTTTTATGATCCTAGAATGCCACTTATTATTCCTCTTGTTAGAAGTGTTTTTTATTTATGTCAAAAGACAAATAGATAGAGTAATCCTTCTATAGGTGCTAGGCTCTTGTGAAATTGTATTATTTATTTATTTTTAGACTAGTGTAGTATATTTCTTCTTTTTTGAGATAAAAGAGTTGGAATATGTATTAAATGTAGGCACCAAAGGGGTGCCGTCCATGTACAAAAAATTTATAAGTTAATGAACATATCTACAATAAAACCAAAATCATCAAGGCTACGAAGGTTGCGTTCAAGAATAATGGACCCCAAAAAGTGAAACCGTTTTCCTTGATTTTACCAAAACTATCATCTTTTCCCTTGAAAGCTCTATTGTTTCTTTCTTTCTAGAGAATCCAAAAGATGGTAAGAGGAATAAGTCGACATTATAGACAGTAATTGATAGTAATTGTCCTTGATGTAGCATATTTCTTCTTATATGTTATTTTCATGAAAAAGTACTGTATAGGAGCCATTTATTATGTACAATGGTTGTTTCATTAGTAGAAAAAAAGCATTTGTAAAAATTATACGAGGATGCTTGCTTTTTTATTATTTAGAGTCATTTTAATTATATTTTTTGGAAATCACTTGAATATTCTATCCTTCAATAAGCTATCTTAACATTAGGAAATAAATCCTGCTAAAGTTATGAGATACTGATTAGGAAATTCCACTAATGGAGATCTGATTTGGTGTAATCAGTTTCCTGCTTTGCAATATACCCATGTATATGCTAAGAAATGCAGTTTCTCTCTAACTACCGCAATTGTATATGATGATTTTTAAGGTTTTAGTTAGAATATTTATGAATTAGTAAATCTAGGACTGCTCTAATTAGATATTAATTATAATTTGTTATAATGTGAAGAACTTTTTTATTAGTAGAAGAAAGGCATTTGTAAAAGATGATTTGAATGCGGAAATATTAATTCTGTATATTTCAATATAAAATGCTTATATAAACATACATGCATTTTGATTATTTATAAATATTACGATGTGTTTATTTTTGATAGTAATTTTACTACCATAAATATTTTATTTATGATGGTACCTAATTTTTTTTTATTTCAAAAAAAGACGGTACCTAATTTTCGTTGATCTTCTCACAACTTGAAATATAACGTATATAATTATTTTAATAATTTTTACATAATGAATCAAATAAAAATAAAAATTTTCTTATATTTTGAAAATATTATTTATCTATTCAATTGGAGCGTATTCTTATAATTGTTGATTTCTTTTTAAATTTTTCTGCATTTAATATATAATATTATTTTTTATTTAAAAAAGTATATAATATTATTTTTATTTATTATTAATTTGTAGTTTTTAAATGTGTAATAAATAATAAAATTACAACATTAATAATTGATTTAATAAAATAACATTCAAGTTAATCAATTCTAGTGAAATAATATAATTTTTAGTAAAATTAAAGTATTCATATATTACGAAATAAATAATATATGGAATAGATAAACTTAGTTTTATACTTACCCTAGAATGCTTATAGCATTCAAGTATGCTAAAAGTGCGCATCCACATTCATACAAAAAATAGTCATTTGTTTTAATCTAGTCAATATGATGTAGATTATGTTGATTGGTTTTCAATCACTTGTTTGCATGGCTCTATTGTTGCATAACACATTATTTGTAGGAATAAGCACAACTCCAATAACTCAATGAAATCGAGATATCAAAGATGAAGGCAAGGCTCTTCAATTTTTTCCTATATTTCAAATTCCGAATAAAATTCGCATCTTTTTAAGTCAAATGTGTTGGTTGGTTAGAGATACAACTTTCTATAATCATACAACTTTTTATAATCATACATGGAAAATTGATTATCTCTATATTTTGTATTAGTAGTTATTGAAGAATGCCACTTGTCGTCCTCAACTACATAACATGGATCTACTTCTAATTTTGTCATTGATCTTTCTTTTCTTAATTTGCATAAATTAGAGGTGGAACAACTACATAGCATGTAGCAGCTCATATAAACATGCCATTTGTTAAAGTAATAGACATCATTGTTTGAAATTGTAAAAATAGTTTACATCTAATCATCATCCAATATAATTGTTGCATTCAATTTTTCTTTGTTCTTGCTGTTGATAATATATTAGATTGTGTTGATAATTCATTCTTTTTTTTTTTGAAATAAAAAGTATAAAATGCATCATTGATGACTGGCACCAAGGAAGTGTCAACTTGTGTACAAAATATTTACATATCTAACAATATGTCAATAAGGCCCCATAAATCTTCCATTGAGTAAAGAGAATAACCATAAATAAAAACCCTTCTACGCACAAAATTTAATTTCTACCTAAGACAACCATCACCCAATGGATTCCTAAAAAGGCCATAAACCATAGTCCAAGCTTGTACGCCATTGGACATCATAGAAGTACATGATTTCAAGTCTCTGCATGGCTTTTACAGAGGTAGAAACTGTTCACCATAATCTTACCATTTCTCAACAATTTATCAATGATCATAATGCGCCCTTTATTGGCATCCTACACAAAGAAAGCAACTCTTGGAGGAACTTTAACGTGCAATTTTGTCTAAACAGAGATCTAGTACCAATGTTTTCTTGCTTGGTTAGATGCTTGTAGAAAGATACCGAAAAGGACCCAGTAGTAGTGAGAGCCCATGCAGGGTTTTCACTACTTATGTCCAAGGACCTGAGAGATAGAGTACTTAGAAGATTCTCATACTCATTAATCTCCCAATTGTTGAAGTTTCTCAGTACATTTATCTGCCACTTCTCTCCCCTCCTCCGCATCTCTGGATGAATCATTTATCATAATATCTTTCTGTTGTGTGATGACAAAAATGTGAGGATACTGATCTCCAAGGGCTCTGCCTTCCAGCCATGAATCCTGCCAAAATTTGACTCTACCACCCTTGCCAACTTCCATCTGATGCACACTTGGAACTTGTCTTGACCTATGCAATTTTTTTTTCCACATTCCTTTCCATGCGGTCTTGATAAGGCTCCAGTATACCATCCTTTCTCATTTGTTTCGAGCTTTGCTTCAATCACCATTCTCCATAATAGTCCTCCTCCATAAACCTCCAAAACCAGTTACCTTGTAAGACCATGTTCATCTCTACCAAAGATTTTAACCCCAAACCTCACTGGGGTATTGGCTTATTATCTCATCCCGGCTCACCAAATGGTATCTTCTTCTATCATCGGAATTGCCTTATATTGTGTTGATAATTAATTACTTAATGATATTACTATAACTACATATATTAGAAATGAGTTTTTTAATATGAAAACTTTTTTATATTAGCCAAAATGGAAAAAAGTCACCGAACAGATTCTACATTAGTGTTAAAGGGTCTAAACAAATAATTAATGATGGATAGATTGACTAGTAACCTCTGTGAGAAAAGCTTCAAGAACCACTTATTCAATCTGATTTTTCTTTTTTCTTTTGTTATCAAAAGAACAATTAGAGTGATGATTGATATGGTGTTGGTTGGCAAGGAATATGACTGTTGTAAAGACATGTTTTTGTGATTGTTTTTCATATTGCACTTTTTTTTTTGTTTTGTTTTTAAATTGTCTTCACCTGTTTCAGGTTGCAGCCTTCAGAGCCATGGTCAATATCTTGACTCGGTATGCTTGTAGTTATGTTTTTAATTTTTCTTAGCAGTTGGAAAATGGGAATTGTTGTTTATCATGTTGGTTATATATAAAAATACACTAACAATAAAATGCTGGCACATGTTACAAAACAAAAAGAAAGTGACATGCGAGATTCGTAGTATCACTTTCACCTGTATGGTAACCTAAAAGAGAGTTTTGACTGCTAATTTTGTTGTCAACCCAAATTTCTAATCGTAGTATCACTTTCACCTGTATGGTAACTTAAAAGAGATTTTCAACTGCTAATTTTGTTGTCAACCCAAATTTCTAACCAAATCACTTATTGTTTGATGTTCTTCATACTCTTACCCAAGTATAGCCTTTATCATTAATTCTCTAATGAGTTGGGATATGGTCCTGAAGTTTGGATCTGCTCGTGAGATGAGATATGTAGAACTATAGTTCGGGACTGGTTGATACAACCTATCTATCTTGAGAGTGACAGAACTAAACCTTTTCTTCCAAAAAAAAATTTCTTCTCTTCTCCCATTGCTGAAACTTGAATATAACTAAATAGGACACAATGGGTTGACTTCTTCCTAAATTCTAGGATAAAATCACCCTATTTTAGGCTAACATTGTATCAATGATTTTAGGATAAAATCTTATCACCATGATCTTAGCTTATTTATTTAACTAACAAAAAAATAGAAACTTCAAAAATAATTAGACATCTAAAGCTACTAAAGACAGCAGAAGGGTTCAACACATTCTTGCTGTTTACCTATTTTCTGCTTGCTTTCCGTGAGTCCCTCTTCAATCTTTTCTTTCATTATGGAGTAGAACATTACACCCTTTTTGCATGAGGTGTTTGTCCTCAGACACCGAATATGATAAATGGATTCAATGTAATGTAAATCCCTTCGCAAAGAAAAAAGTTCTAGATGACTCAGAATATAAATTCTTCATTTTTTTCAAAAAAGACAGAATATAAATTCTGGACATCGTCCTTCTGCTGCACTCAGATATAGGGCAAATTGTAGTGTATCCCTGGAGTGCCGGAAGAGTCCAAATAAAATATCAATGCAAAGGCCTTCTGCCAATCGAATTGACCAATCCCTGTTGTATGTTGTAGTAGCTTCTGCATCTGCCTTCCTAAAAATGTCCCGGATTTTCGGAACTGCATGTCTGCCAGCAGCAATGAAATTCTAATGGAATCATCATGTTCCAAGCATGAGATTAGACTGGAGCGATCAACTATTGCAAGCCAAGTATCTGTATGGGCATGTCACATCTTCACAATTGCATCATGGGCAGCAGGAAGAAAATGCTTGCCAGACAGCATATGGATGCAGCTGATCCTCTGCATCTTGACCCTTCAGCTTTTCTAGAGGCTGAGATGTTTTCTTGTCCCATAAAATGACAAATTGATTAATAAATGATCGCCCACTATACTCTAGTGTAGATTTGGGGGACTTAATTGGTATTTTTATTGTTATAATAGTTTTTTATATACGAGTTGCATCCCCTTGGTGCTCTTATGTGTACATTTTTCGCCTTTTTCTTAAAAAAATGGCATTGATCACGAGATTCTGTTGCCACCTTTACTTTATTAGAATTCATCTTTAACAATCTCCTTACTCTCGAATGTTTTTGCCATGGTTTTCTTGCTGCAGGCATTTATGCTAATTTCTGACATTGTATTGTTCGTTGGTATGGTACTCAAGAGCTCCCCTAATAGGCCCTTCATTTGCACACTAAGCTCACTCTGCCACTCTTGTTATTGGAAAACACTAAATTCTCTCATAACCAACTGCTCCAATACCAAGTTGATATGGTCCCAAAATTTGAATCTACTCACAGGACGAGATATGTAGAACTAGGGTTTGGAACTCATTAGAACTAATCGATCTCCAGTGTTAAAAGATTCTAAATCTTTCTTTTTTTTTGAGATTCTTCTCTTCTCTCATGGCTGAAATTTGAGTAGCAATAAATATGAAGCAATGGGTTAACTTCTTAAAATTTAGAACAAAATCACCACAACTTTACACCAAAAACTTGTTGCCCTAAATTTAGACTTTCTTAGTTAGCCTGTTTATTTAAATAGAAAAAAACAAAGGAATTTGGAAATAAAAGACACTTAAAGTTAATCAAAGACTGCAAAAGAGTTTAACACACTCTTTGTCATTTGCCTTTTTTTTTTGCTTGGTGTCCATGAATCCCTTTTCAGCCTTTTCTCCAGGTTATTGACTATAACAAATTGATTGTGTATATACTGAAGCAGGGTTCCTTATTTTTCATTCTCTTTTCTTTTTAACTTCAGGTAGTGAATTTTGGATTTTATTTTGTAGTGTACAGCAAGAATCCATTGATGATGCTGAACGGAATCGTTTTTTGGTTACGTATGTTGATTATGCTTTTGATGACTTTGGAGGCCGTCAGCCACCAGTTTATCCAGGATTGTCTACTGTGTGGGGTAGCCTGGCCCGTAGCAAGGTGTGTATGGCACATTTTATCAACATTTCAAAATGGATAGAAGCTCATATTAGTCCAAATTATTAACCATTTATTCATCGTCGGGTTACAGGCTAAAGGTTACCGTGTTGGTCCAGTATATGATGATGTTTTAGCGATGGCTTGGTTTTTCCTTGAGTTAATCATCAAGTCAATGGCATTGGAGCAAGCACGCCTTTTCTACAATACTCTTCCACCAGGTAGCTTCCAAGTTCCATTAGTGCTTATTAAAAAGTTTGTTTTCCTTATTAAAAAATTGCTTTTTGTTTGTTACTTCATATGCATTTTTTACATGTATTCCTAGCAATCCAATTGTGGGAGTTAAACTCTAGATAATGAACTTATGCATCCTAAGAACAAGGAGAGGTGGCAAGTAAGTGAAAACTCATGGTAAAAATTATAGGATAATAAAAAAGAGTATTATTGAATGCTTCACTCGGTTTGTTGACTTAGAAATGGCTGATTAGGAGTAAAGGAATTAGTTTTTGGAGGCCTTAGTTTGATCATTCAACCACCCCAAAACTCTTACCAGCTTGTAGTGAAAATATTGTCTGATCCAGCTAATCTTGACACATAATGCATGAGTATGGTGGTCTTTGAAGCTTGTTAGACCTAATGACTTAGCTTTATTGAGTATCATCCTAGTGCTTTTGCATGAAATGCTGGTGGCAATTATAATTTAGGAAATGGTTTCTTAAGGAAATGCAAAAATTATATTCTATAGATGGTCCTTTAGACCCTAGACTTCAGTGGCTCTGGTCTGCATGTTCCTCGGAAGGAACCTGAGTGGAGTTCAAGGGGGAAAAGTTCATAACCCGTAGATTGATTCACATTCATCTGGGCTTATTTTTTGTCAATTGAGATCGTGTTCCAGTGGTTGAGACAAGGTTACCAAAAATTTCTCAGAAAGTCTGGTTTCCAAATAATTGAGGCCTTCATTATTTTGCTCCTCTCACATTCTCCTTCTATCTCAACATGTTCTTTTAAGTTCGTTTCAATATTTGAAAGAAGCCAACTCTTTTTCTTAAAAGGATGTCTGATGCCTTTGTTTTTTTTTAAATTTTTTTTTGATTTCGTTTTTGTTTTGTTTTTTTGTTTTTGTTTTTTTCCTGTAAGAATGGCTTAATATTGTTTATAATAAGAGTCTCCTCCTAAGGGATAAAATTAGGTCACCCACATTCATCAATTACATTGCTTGGTTGTTTATGGTACAATAAAATCTTATATAATCACATTTTTTGTTATTTAGGAGAGGATGTGCCACCCATGCAACTAAAAGAGGGTGTGTTCAGATGCATAATGCAGTTGTACGATTGTCTTCTGACAGAAGTGTATGAGCGCTGTAAGAAGGGCTTAAACTTGGCAAAACGTTTGAATAGCAGTTTGGCCTTCTTTTGTTATGATCTTTTATCTATCATTGAGCCTCGCCAAGTTTTTGAATTGGTATGGTAACAATATAGCCAGTTTTGTTTAAATTTGTGTTGAGAAGCAACATTTTGTACGTTATTATGCATATTCATGATGGTTACATGTGCTTGGGGCTTACTTAATTGAGAGATGGACTCAAGCATGCATCATTGTTCATATTCATGAGAATCGAATAGGACATAAAGAGTCTGTTTGAATTGCATGGTCATCTCATTCTCTGGTAGATGGTATTTCTCATCCCAATCCATTTATATGAATTGACACTTAAGGGATCAATTCTCTTGGCCCACTTCAGCAAATATTGAATAGGTAAAGAAAACAAATTCAACAAAAATTGCAGATTTTATGATGGTCAGCCTGATGCACTATTGAGTAGCTGTAAATTACCTAAATATATTAGAAATTTTATTCTATTAAATCTAACACTTCTATGCTATCTAAGAGTAATTATAGTGATGGTAATCTTAGGAATTTATTCTTATTAGTATTTAGTTTTCTTATTTGTATTAATACTATTTCTTATATGTTTTAGGAGTAATATTCCTTATCTTATTAGTTCTTGTAATTCTTAGTTTAGTCCTGTTTAGTAAAGGTTATCTAGGAGCATTATAGATACCTTTATTATTTTATTGTTAGAACGATATTCAGTTATTCAATAAAGTATTTCGAGAGTTTCTTGGGTTTTTAGCTATGTGATACAATCAAATTTTTAAATGTGAAACTTAAGAATTCTTAAATGCGGTGTTTAAGAAACACAAAGTGTAATATTTAGGTTTTTATCCCATAATTGGCCAAATTAACCGTATTTTTTTCTAGAGTAGTTTAGTACCGGAGCTAAAAAGATCATACATCCAAAGTCTCAAAGTCCTACACTCAAATGATGCAAACCTATTTGAAAAAAAAAGGAAAATCACAAAAAAATAAAAAGGAAAACCCTAAGCCAGTTAACCTAGATCGCACTCACTAGTAGGTGGTGCTTGACTACCAAATGCTTCCTCCCTGATGTGCTGTGTTTTGTTATAGGGGTCAAACTATGGTCTTCTTTTCTTCTGCTTTGTCCCTCTGTGGAGTGTTCCAGAGTTCTGAACAACACGAGCAAAACTTTTTTTTTCTTTTTTTAGATAAAAAGAACGTATTATAAATATATGACACTAAGGGGGTGTCACCCATTTTCAAAACATCTACAATTTAGTTAATAAATCAATGATATTCCCAAAATCCTTCCACTATAAATGTCATGACCCAAAATTAAAGATCTAAAAACTTGTTTCTACCTATCTCTAATTCTGACCATTTCCCCCTTACACCCTTCAAACATTTTATTATTCATCTCATTCCACACTACCCAAAAGATAATTAAAAGAATAAAATTTACAGAACTCTTTTTTGTACAATCTCATCCCAAGCCCATAGTTCATCTCTAACTGTACTTGCAATGACCCAGTTGATCCTCAGTAGATCTTAGACCATAGTTCAAATGTTATAATCATTGGACACCAAAGAAGAATGTGATTGCAAGATTCAACAGTTTTCTTGCATATATAACAACTGTTAACCAGGATTCTACCCCTTCTAATCATCTTATTAATGGTTAGAATACATTCTCATCTCGCTTCCCATACGAACAAAGCAATTCTTGGGGGTGCCTTCACTTTCCAATCTGATTAATTGGAACCTTACTAAACCTTCTCCATCCTTTTTAACCAAATGATTATAAAAAATTTTAACAGTGAATTCTCCATCCTTCTTCAGTTTCCACACAAACTTATCCTTATTGTCACTCAATTATACGTTGGGCAATAGTTGGAGCAAGGCCTCATATTCTTCTATCTCACAATGTTTAAGATTTCTTGTCACGTTCATAGTCCACACCATTCTACAATTCTCCCCCCTGAACACTTCCTCCGCAACCATATTCCACGCCATTCTACAATTCCCCCCCCTGAACACTTCCTCCACAACCATATTCTTCCCTTGTGTGATAGTGTGTATCTTCGAAAATTGATTCTTGAGTCTGTCCTTTCCTATCCATTCGACATCCCAAAACCGGATTTTATTCCCCCTCCCCAGTTGCCAATGAATACACTCTAGAAAATGTTGTCTCCCGATACCTATGTTCCTCCACACACCCATCCCATGGGGCCTTACTACCTCTCTACCTTCCCTTCTCTCATCCTCTATACTCTAATGCGCATCAATAACTCTCTGCCTCAACCTCCCTTCGTCCTTCAAGTACCTCCATAACCACTTCCCAACTAGGGCAAAACTTTTAGAGATGGCCAACAGATTATGAGTTATGAGCATCACTTTCTTTCAGCTTTCCCCCATACGTACTTTCTTTGCTGAACCCTAGCAAAAGTTTATACAGTTGTTTATTCCCAATATTTTCTTTTCAGTGTTGTTGATCTTCTTCGAACATGTCGAGTTGTTGCCAGTTTCGAGTCAACATGTTGAAGTATTGGGTTACGCTGAGCTCTTCTTGTTGCAGGTCGTGGAGGATGCTTTTCGCTGCAAAAACTCAGACGAATTATCAACTTTGGAGTATGTGTATCTCGTTGCGTCCCCTTGGGGACATCTGATAAAATTGGAACGATATAGAGAACTTTGGAGTATGTTTATCTTGTTGCATCCTGTAATCTTTCTCCAATCCAAACAAAAGAAAATTCTTTCTAGTCTCGTTGATCGTTGAGTTGATGAGCCAAGGCATGACCATGTTGTTCTTGATTTTCCAATTAAATACTTTTTATCTTCTTTTGGTGGTGGGACTACAATTCCGGTGAGGTAGTCGCCTTTCCTTTTTCTTCTATATGAACATCAACATTGATTGCAACCACGGTAGGTAATTTTAGCCATTCAGTTTGTGTTGGTGATGGACATTGTAGGGCTGTCCATTCCTCCGTTGTTCTTTAGTGAAACATTCTCAGACGGAGATGTGACTTCTGAAGTCGCTGACGCGGGAGGGACTTGGAAGGATCGTAATACTCTTGAAACCTCACATAACGTAAAATCATAAGTTTTACTGCCTAATTCACCCTCCCTACTTTATTCTACACCCATCAATAGGGAATGCGAAAACAAGATAATCAGGAAAATAGAAAGGAAAAGGAGGGACACCACGACTTACCCCATAAGTCGATCCTTGATTCCTTAACTCAACAGGACTTCAAAAACTTCCTAGCTTGATGAATTTGAAGAACTCTCACAAATTAGCAAAACTAATTTAAAAGAAAAGTCAAAGCTTAAACTTTATTAATTTCTTGAAGTTGTGATTACATCTTAAGGACTCAAGCCTTTATATAAGCCTTTATTGACTAATTCTAAATGGAATAGGATTACAAATTGCTACCCAAACTCTTATACTTTAATTAGATAGAAAAAATACATGAATAATTAAATAATTAAATAATTAAATCTCTATCCAACTTAATAAATAATCTAAAATAATCAAATTGAAGAATTAAAATAATCTAAAAAAATATAAAATAATCCTCCCTCCTTATCCAATTCTCCATGTGATCTCATTCACCTGGATTTCACATTTGAGTAGAATTTCCTCTTTAATTCAGCATATTAATCATATGTAGAAATTGTAGAACTCCTTTTAATTTGCAGCATGGGAATCGGTTGGAAATAAGGAAAAGGAAGGGGATTCCTTTTCGGAAACTAACTTGCTGTCCAAGCACGCGGGTGGAAGCTTCTTCACGCGATTTCTTGCTTTCCCGCGACTCATTCTGGCTAGGAGTCCTCATTCGGTTTTCTTCCTTCACTGAGTCTTCTAGAAGCCGCTTGTTGCATTTCAAGGAGGATTTGCTGTCGGTTTAGAAGAGGGAGCCATCAGGTTGGTTTCCTCATGTGTGGTAAGGTCCCACATGTGCGGGTTCTCCTTCCCACATGTGGCCCACTTTGGCCGCGAGGTCTTTTGGCCGTGGCCTACTTTGGCCGCGAGGTCTTTGGGCCATCTTCGGTTGGGCCAAAAATTGACTTTTCTTCTTGCCTTGTAACTTATCCAAGCCCATAAAGCATTACTTGGGCCCTAAACTTCCTTTGATCAAATGTCGTCCATTCCCTTGAATAATTCTATTTAGGAGAATAGTTACGGATGAAGTTATTTTTACGTTCAGGGCGTTCCTGTTTAGGAAACTGAGATTTACTTTCCTGTTTGAACCAATCCCGTTTAGAAAACAAAAGGATGTTGGAATTGCTTGCCTGTTTGGAATGAGACCTGGGGGAATCCTTGTGGGAAAAAGGTTTTCTCCTTTTCTCGTCCACGCGTTGCCTCCTCAATGTGGGATTGTACCCATGGAACTAAATTTGATCTATCTAGGATCATGTCAGTCGTACTCTGCGGACTCATCATCTTGTGAAGTTGATTCAGTGGCGGTTTTGATACAGTGTTGTTTGATAAATTCTACTTCTTATTTCTTCTTCAACTAAATTACAATCTTTATAGTGTTGGGACCAAGAGCCTTATCCCCTAAAAAATAGGACAAAATTATTCTAAACTAAGAGTCCAATGAAAATAAGAAATCTACTCTGATTTTGTGGGATTCCAGAATCAAATCTAGGTCCTACTCAATTCGGGTAAACCTAGAAATAGAAAAAGAGATTTTTATTTAGTAATTCTTCCCTTTTTCATGGTAGTTTTCCTTCTTAAGAGAGTTATTACTGTCCAAACTCTGTGGTTCTTTACTGTTTAGGTCTCTGTTGTTATGATTTTTTTTTTTCACATTAAATATAAAATTATCAGCTTTTCAGGCTTTTATCTTGTAAAACTTTTGGTTTTCTTCCGATTTTTTATTTATTTTACCTTGAACTTTCATTTATTTATTTTTAACAGTCCATACATGTGCTGACATGCCAAAAAAACTACTGGAATTATATAAAATAATGAAAATTTAAATCTTATATACTCAAGCTTATAGATAATCATAGTTTGAACTTTAATATGACAGCTACAGCTGTTAACTTGTACTTTTCCCTAACAGGATGTACAAAGCTAAGTTCATAGTTTTGGTGGTTGAATATGGTATCTTTTTGGTCCTAATCATTAGGTGAGCAAAGAGAGAGAGTTGGTAACTTTTTTGGCTTATCTTTTGGTTAAAACTGATGGTTTCTTTAGGCATTCTTTATCCACATTACCAAGTGATTTGGTTGCTATTAGGTTGTGAATAATCGGTTTACTTTCTTTCTTTTTGAAGATAGCTTTTCCTCCTTTTGTCTGTATACTTTTCCCTCCTTCCTGATTATATTTCTTCATTTTTCAGAAAAAAGAATAGAGACAAGGGAGACTGGTCAAAGTTGTTCTCTTCTTTTCTTTATTTTGAGTGGTTTGTGTTTCATTTGATTGTAAGTCCTGCACGTGGGGGTGTTGGGTTAACCAAAGACATGTCATCAAATAGAGGGGAGAATCATGCACTAGGCTTCTCCCTCACCTTAGGTTGTCACTTTTTAGAAGGGCGAAGCATGCTATGCTATTGGATTTAGGATATTTTTTAATTAAAGTTAATACTATCATCTGCTGCAGGTTTCTTTGTACCTGGACAAGTTTTCTGGAGTATGTCAGTCAGTGCTGCATGAATGCAAACTCATATTTTTGCAGATAATCTGTGATCATGATCTTTTTGTTGAAATGCCTGGGAGAGACCCTTCGGATAGGTAATAATCATTGATAACCTTCTCTTATTGGTTACTTAACAACTTTCATGTATTTAATCTGGGTTTCATCACACATTTCACTCCTTGGGATCAAGGTATGTAGAATTAATATTGGTCCAAATTGTGGGCATATACTAATAATGTAATTCTAAGTTTGTTTCTTCCGTTATGCTTTGGAGGCTGCCTTGTAGGACCATGGCTTGTGTTGAAGGGCTGAGGCTTTCTATATCCAAAACCAAGTGATGGTACTGATTTTGGTCTTCTAAGCCATAGAATTCCTGCAAGTGTTCAGGATCTTTGGAGGCAATGGGAATGAATTAATTTTAATGTAAATAGACCAGTTCAGGAAGAAATCCAACCTAGTTAATTGATAAAAGACATAATTAGCTGAAAGAATAGATGGCACCATAACCAAGGAGGTGGCACCTGTATATGAAACTGATACAAGAAACACAATTTATCTCATACACAAGCTCTTCATATTTGTATTTGTAACCTGAAAACCAGAAGAAATTAATATACAACTAGAAACCTATAACTCTGAAATGAGTTCTATGTCCCTTTAATAAGTCTGTTGTTCCTTTATTTCCATTTAGACCAAAATATGAGAAGCATGATGAGAGAGCTTGTTATCTACTCTTTTTGACACAACATCCCTAACTATTCCCAGTCTATCATCCAGCAATGAACTATCAAAACCCCACTTTGCCCTTGTAAACCTAAGGCTGTTTTCCAAAGTTGAGTCATCCATGGACCCCTCTTAAGATGGTTCAAGGTGTTCGGTTTCCATTTGAGCAAAACAATTTCACCTGATTATGCAAGGTAAGGATTTCGATCCAATGAACATGCCTCACCAAAAAGAACCTCCTTAAGAGTTATTAATTTTGTCAATCAAATGTCAGAATTTTTGAATTTCCATTTTTTGATAGATTGATGCTTTTTACTTTTGGAAGTTCATTCTCTTAGTGCATAGATTATTTAGAAACAAACCTTATATACCTTAAAATTAGACATGTTGAACTACATTTTAGTGGAATACTTGTTCCAGATTGGTAGCAGACAAGGGAGATCTAGCAACCTGAAGTACACTCAGACACAACAGCAGATTCTAGCAGCCACAGATATTGAAAGATTCATAATTCAATTGTGATCTTAATCGTGTAATCTTGCTGCCGATGAAAAGCCTATAAAATTTAGATTCCACTTAAATAGATTTGGTCACTAAAAATTGGCCAAAAATACAGTAGAATCCCCAAAAATGTAGTAACTTTTTTTTTCTTCTTCTAGCTAGTTTACATGGATAACTACTAGGAAATTGAGTTCTAAATTAGTTTTATGAGCTTAAATCTTGATATTGTAAATCAATGTGACATATTTTCTTATGCTGGATAAATAATATATTGTAAACTCTTAGTAAGGCGTGCAATAAGACAATTTTATTTGCAATCCCCAACTCCTCTCAAGACTTTATAATGTCTAATAGATGGTACACGGGATTTTCTCAAATCCCGAACCGCATGAGATCCTAGGTCAGCAAAACCTTCAAGAATGCAGGCGAATACAAAACTCTACATATCTTAAGAATCTAACTTGTTTTGTCAAACTAAAACTCTTTTTGAAAATGAATACCTAGAACAAAACTTTACTTGATTCCCGCTGTTTCATGTGAACTCATTCAAACATTTTGAGATGAAAAGAAGGCCTTTGTCTACGTATTAGCATGAAGAACTCCGTACATTCTTATAATCTAATTGCACGAAGAAGAGCAAATCTATCGAATGGTTCCTTGATCTTGATTCTCAAGATGTGTTTATATACTCAATCTATCCATAATAATCCAAGCTGCATGAATTCTTTTGGAAGATATGGGCAAACACACCGTAAAACCATGCTAATTTGGTTATGTTTCTATATGTTATTACATAACATATAAAAACATTTTCAAAAGCAAGTTCCAAAATTGCAGACTGGGATTGGCAAGTGCGTACAAAATTCACCCTCGCCAATTCCAGTCTACATAAACTTGTTTAACCCCCCAAAAAATTTACACAACTGAGGGATTAAATGTTAACCTGCAAACATTTCACATGAAAAATTCACAGATAAACGTTTTAATTCACTTGGTCTAGGTTAAATATTACTTTTCTTCCATAAGAGATCAATATATTTTTGCTCTCTCTCTCTCTCTCTTTCGTTTCTTCTTTCCTGCTTTATTTCTTATTTGGTCTCAGAATATCTGAATCTGTTTTTACAAGGGGAATGAGGTTCTGGGTTGATTTTATTTTTTATACTACAGGAACTACCTTTCATCTGTCTTAATACAAGAACTTTTTCTCACATGGGATCATGATGATCTATCTCAGCGATCAAAGGTGAGTTTGGAACAAATAGTTTAAGATCGTATTAGATTTTGAGTTGGTGAATCCAAGTTTGTCTTTGCCATTTCCTTAATTAGAAAAACATATGCCTTTGCATAAATGATAAACACCTTAAACTTGTTATAATACAGTATTTAATATGTGTAGGCAGCAAGAATTTTGGTCATCCTCTTGTGCAAGCATGAGTTTGATGCTCGATACCAGAAGCTTGAGGATAAGTTGTATATAACACAGCTATATTTTCCACTTATTGGCCAGGTATACAACTGAAAAACTTTCATATCTTTCTTATCTTTTTTTTCTTTTTAACTTTAGCTGGAAAAAGTTAGTGTAGAAGTAAAAAATTAGTGTAGACGCATGCATACAGACACACACGAAAAAGATATAAAGTAAAAAAAAAATGAAGAAAATAAACCCCCATAGCCAAAAATAGAGAACTTTGTCAGAAGCCTACCCATGGCTGTCTGATTTGTGAAAGAAAGAAGAGGGAGAAGAGAGAAAAAAAGAGAAGAACCGAGAGGAAGAGAAGTTTGAGGTAAAATATGTTTTATTTCTTCGAGATTACATTTGTACGATTTGAGCCTTTTTATAGGCTTATGAACGGTAAAGGATGGAAGCTGATGGAGGCAGGACTGGCGCGGCCATTTTGGTTGCAACACACTATGCACATTGAGTTATCTTGTTTATTTTAAAAATGAGATGTGATATATTCTTCTTATTTTTGTTATAATGAAATTTATTTTAAAATTTAATTTATTATATCGTTTAAATGTGTTATAAATTATTTGTGATTATTTTTAGATGATTGTGATTTTGATAATGTGTGATGATTTTTCTTTATTAGTAGAAGTTAACTTCGTGGAAATTATAACAAGTGTAAAAATATTAGTGTTATATTTCAATATAAGTTTGGATATATAAACATGCATGCATTTTGATTGTTTAGCAATTCATATTTTAATTATAATATTTGTGATCGAACTTTACGTACTTCTTTAAATATTAACTTTATTACCATAAAATAATTTATTTGTACTGCTTACTAATTTTTTGTTTAGATTCACAACTTGAAACTAGAAAAAGTTTTATTGTTGTAGTAAGTTTATAAACAAAATAAGAACAAAAATTATGTAACCTATTCTTGAAATTATTATTATTTATTTTATTTTCTTCGTATTTAAAATACAAGTATGATTTTTTAATTCTTATTTTTGTTTATTCAATTTACAATGTTATTTCTATTTATTATTAATGTCTTATTTTTAAATATATAATAAATAATAAAACTATAGCATTGATATAGTTTTTTATTTGTAAAAAGTCAAGCAAGTTATTTCATAAACTTCTTTCTTACTAGGTATAAAAAAATCTGGTGAAAGCTGTTACTAGTGACTTTCTAGAGAAACTAATAAGAAATTATTGTGTAAAGTTCTTACTCTATGACTTTGTGGTTGGCAGATCCTCGATGAAATGCCTGTCTTTTACAACCTAAATGCTGTTGAAAAGCGTGAAGTGTTAATTGTCATATTGCAAATTGTGCGCAATCTAGATGATTCTTCACTTGTCAAAGCATGGCAACAAAGCATTGCTCGAACTAGATTATTCTTCAAGCTCATGGAGGAAAGTTTGATGCTTTTTGAGGTTGGTATTTATTTGAGGAATAAATTTTACATTTGGTCATATGCAAGTCTTATTGTTGTGATATTATTTCTATAAAAGTTTGAAAAATCAGTGTGTGAATACCTTCATAAAGCCTTCTTAGGCAAATTAATCAATAGATTTGGTCTCTGAATGAAGAAAAAAACTGGAAAGAAGCTAAGAAAAATATACTAACTTGATTGGCATCACATCTGTAAGCATGAATTTTAAGTATGATATCTTTATTCCTCCATATATCACAGTTATCCTTTAATGTATTTGCTCATACTGAGGCCTTTCTTCTACCATTTACCATTTTGCTCATTCACATGGTATCTTTTTACAGCACCGAAAACCTGCTGATGGCATGCTTATGGGAAGCAGTTCTCGGAGCCCTGTTGGAGAGGGGCCTGCTTCCCCCAAGTACTCTGATAGACTTTCTCCTGCAATCAATAATTATCTTTCTGAGGCCTCTCGACAAGAAGTCAGGGTCAGTTCTTTAAGGTTAATGCTTGCATTTATTTTGTTCTTGAGTAGGGAGGAGACAGTGGTTGATTTTTCCTTTTGGAAAGTTCTCTGCTTCCATCTTTTCTAGCAGAAGTTCATTGCCTCAATTATTTTTCCTTTTTGAGAATAAGCTGCCATATGTTTTGGGATTATCTTGGTTCAAAATCAAACTGTTTATTTAATATGCTCGAGTTGCATATTGTAACCCTGATGATATCGGCTCAATCTTTCAACTGCAGCCTCAGGGAACACCTGATAATGGTTATTTATGGCAGAGAGTGAATTCCCAGTTGAGTTCCCCCACTCAACCATATTCCCTTAGAGAAGCTCTGGCCCAGGCACAATCTTCTCGGATTGGAGCTTCTGCTCAAGCACTGAGAGAATCTTTGCACCCAATATTGAGACAAAAACTGGTATAGTTTTACATCAAAATTTGACATTTTATTTAGTTGCGGTGGCAGCCCTATCTTACTTCTGCTTTTTTTCCCCTTATTTTTTACATTTTGTCTATTTCAGGAACTATGGGAAGAAAATTTGAGTGCTGCTGTCAGTCTTCAGGTTTTGGAAATAGCTGAGAAATTTGCTATGATGGCTGCATCCCATAGCATTGCTACTGATTATGGAAAACTTGACTGCATCACAGTCATAATTATGAGTTTCTTTTCACGAAATCAGCCTCTAGCTTTTTGGAAGGCTTTCTTTCCTGTGTTCAACCATGTTTTTGATCTTCATGGGGCAACTCTAATGGCCAGGGAGAATGACCGCTTCTTAAAGCAAGTTGCTTTCCATCTTCTTCGACTGGCTGTTTTCCGAAATGATAGTATCAGAAAAAAGAGCTGTTATAGGGCTTCAGATACTCGTCAGGGTAGGCTCTTTAAAATTAACAAGATAGATTCTCCAGCTTTATTTTCTCTCTCACTTGAATTCCCTCCTTTAATTTTTCCAGAGTTCTTTCTATTTTATCCAAACTGCAAGATTGAGGGTCATGTTGACTATCACGTTGTCAGAGCTAATGTCGGACATCCAAGTGACACAGATGAAATCCGATGGAACACTAGAAGAGAGTGGTGAGGCTCGGCGGCTTCGAAAATCTTTGGAGGAAATGGCAGATGAAGCTAAGAGTCCCAACCTATTGAGGGAATGTGGACTTCCTGAGAGTGCTCTTTCAGCGATTCCAGATGGATTTACAGAAAACAAATGGTCATGGTCAGAAGTAAAATGTCTTTCGGACAGTCTTCTTCTGGCCCTTGATGCTAGCCTGGAGCATGCCCTTCTGGTAATTCTATATTCATCTACATTTCAGTTTTTTCTTGGACATTCATACTGGTAAAATTCATTTTATTCAACTGGGGGAAAGGATGTATTCATGCAATAACTTGGAACTACTACAGAATTTTCTTATGACTTCATAGTACTGCATTGATGTTAAAGGTGGAACCAAAAGAACTCAGGAAACAAGAGAGTATTCCACCTGTACTGAGAGTAATTCCTGTCTTCTCCACTGCCTAGCTTGCTTGTGTCTAATCATGCATTAGTTTGAAAATATTACTATCTAATCCTTTTTTTTGAACAAATATTATGATGTAGTCCAACAAACTATTTGCGGATGGTAAAATTACTATAAAGTACATGTTGATATGTTCTTTCAAGAGAAAATACGAGAGACTTCTGTAAAAGAGAGAACACATAAATTTTGAAGAAAATGAAAGAATTTTGACTGAAATTAGGGAAAAATTTTAATCAATCACGCTTTTTCAATCATAGTTTTCTAAACTCTCTCTAACTTTGTCACACTTTTCAAATTTTTTCAAGACTTTTATGTATTTTTCAGTTTCAAATGAGTTTTTTGTCATTTTGAGGGGAGAAAAAAATGAATTTGTATTAACAGTAATTTTAATAGTTCACAGGACTATTATCATCTTTGTCACTGGAAATAATCTTCTTTGTCTGAAAACATGAGTAGATTGTTATTTGTAGGTTTCTGTCTAAATGGGTTGGAGTATTTTAATTATATTAATTCTGGTACTATGATAACATGATAGGGTTTGCAACAGTGTGTACCGTTCCTTACTCCAAAAGAGTACATGTGATAACATGATAGGGTTTGCAACAGTGTGTACCATTCCTTACTCCAAAAGAGTACATGTGTAGGCTTAGTGATAAGCTGAATAGGAGTCATCCCTAAATAGTTGATAATTTCAGAGAGGAAAATAACTCCATACTCTTTATATTCTTAATGGTACTTTACCAGATTAAACAAAATCACTTGATATAGTCACATAGATAAAATAAGGCTTTTGTCTTCTAATTGTGTGATACGCAAGCATAGAGACAAATAATCATCTTTTCCTCCATTGGATGCTACTTGGAAAATTCGATCTAGACTCTTAGCTCTATTCAGGATTTGTGGGTTTTCCTTACAAACTTGGATGCCTTTTATTGTTATTTGTCTTTGAGGCGATAGGAACAAAGAGCACGAAGTTTTGCTGGAAGTTTTTTATTTTATTTTATTTTTTTTACGGAAGCAACGAGCATAAAATTCTACCGGTGGGCACTTGTTTGGTAGCCTTTGGGTTTTGTGGTTTGAACATAATGTGAGGATTTTGCCGTTTTATCTATCATTTTTTTTCTTTGTTTTGTATTTTGATTTTGAACTAGAAGAATATGGATGAAAACAATCCTGTAAGAGTCCTCATAGTCCAGCTCTAAGCTCATTCGTCGTATACCTGAGTCCAGCCCTAGGTCTGAGTGGAGAGGTCCTAATCCTCCGAGTTTTAATTTGTTATATATATGGCTGGTTTTTATCGTAATAAATTTTCTTTTTTTCCCATGGCATGATATGTTATTTTCCCTATTTGAACTTTCTCACTTTCCAATATATCTTTTTTCTTTTTCTTATTCTCTTAATAAGTTTATCTTCTTCTTCTCTTCATGGTGCTTTTGTCTAACTAGCACTTTATGAATGCCAAAGATGATTTATGTCATACAGTAGGATGCATGAAAAGTTGATTAATCTTTTAAAAAATCTGACAAAACTATCATGTTTGGTTGTTGTTGATTACATTATTTGCCCAAGACAAGCATATATTTTCTCAGCTGGCATCATTATATCCTGACCTGAGATGGGTTTTTCATACCTGAATGATGGTCCTGAGCTTTGATGGTATATAAGCAATGAGTTCCTAATCGCAACCCTTTACCATTTTCCCTAAGATGTTCCTATCTGTTGCTATTTCTTATTCTTCCAGAAATATTACTGCTGCTTCACTTAAAAGTTTTTGAATTAACTTTACATTCTCTTACAGGGCTCTATGATGAGTATGGATAGATATGCTGCTGCAGAGAGCTTCTACAAACTTGCTTTGGCATTTGCTCCAGTCCCAGATCTTCACATAATGTGGTTGCTGCATTTATGTGATGCACATCAGGAAATGCAATCTTGGGCTGAAGCTGCACAGTGTGCTGTAGCTGTTGCTGGTGTTGTAATGCAGGTAAAGCTGTTTAGGCTGCTTGTTCTGTACCCGTCCTGTAGAAACTCTTGCCTTTTATAGTTTCCACTTCAATTTGATATGCAGAAGAATTTAAGTAGTTAAATGTTTGTTGTCTGCTATGAACAAAGGAACAATGTGATTGAAAAGGACTGCTAACTGATCTGCCATAGAAATTTGTTTCTTGTCTTGCTTCTTAAATTGATTTGATGTCAAATCTACTTGCCTTACAATCATAGTGTCATGATGGTGGATGTGATAATGTTTGGTTTTGTAGGATAGTTTGTGATGCAAGGACTAAACAGTGAAGTTTGTAAATCCTACATCTGATACACAATGGTTTGGGTTTCTTAATAGATTAGGAATCATAGTCCCTTTTTTCAACTTATAATTTGTTATAATAGTTAGAAGTCCGTTATTATTGTTTTAGTAGTGTTATGATTTTATTGCTTTTAATTCTGTTTAATTTCTTATTAGGGTTTCTCTTCATGGTTAAAGTAGGATTTCAATTATGAGGAAACCATTACTCAACTAGTATATTTTAGGGAATTTCTCAGTGCAGTTTTATGCATGATGTGTGATGTATAATATGATTGTATAATGTAATCAACCCTTGTCATAAGTATGATGTTTAAAGGATCCTTGGTGCGACACCTTGTTCTTTTTCTTTTTTTACTAAGCTCTAAAACCCGGTTTACCAAGTATGACATTAGAACCCTAGATGTAATAATTAGGTGTAACCTGAATCCCTAAGTAAACTAATACTGACTTGTCCTACATCAGTATCCCATGCCGATAATGACACCAACACTATGGTTCTTAATACTAAAAGCAGAAGAAATAGGAAAAAGTTAGACCAAAGATTGCCATGGACCTTTGGAACCATATATGGTGTTGTCAAAGTCAGACCAGTTTCGCCTGGTGTGACCAGATTGGCCCGCTCATCGGTTCAGGCCTTTACTGAATGGTTCTTCACCGGTTTAGACCAGCTTCCAATTAAGCACTTCCAATGGTTAAAGTGAGAGAAGATTCAAAGTGTTCTCTTACATGTGAAAACGCTAATTGTTCATGAGGATTGTTGATGAAGCACAGTGGAATAAGATTTAAAGAGGGAAAATCCAATCCACAATTGGATGAGTGCTGCACTAATATAATTATTGTTTGGCATTATGCTGAGTGATATGTGCTGCATTAATTATTACTAATATGGACATGGTAGAAGTTAGTGTTCTAATCAACAAACAAGGGCTGGATGTGCAACCCAAGAGTTAGAACCTGATGAACAACTCTGTGGAGTGCCTTTTGTTGTTATCTTAGCCAAGTCTTCATTCTATTTCTGACCCTTTGATCATCATGGAGAAGCTTTAAATCTTACGATAAGTTCAACTATTTTGTCTTTCTTAATTGGATCCTCTTTGCCTGCCTATTTCTATATGAAGTTTTAAGACATTCTCAATTATATATTTCATATTATTTACTGGAACTCCTGTCTTATTTTATAGGCCCTTGTAGCAAGAAATGATGGTGTCTGGAGCAAGGATCACGTTGCTGCTTTACGTAAAATTTGTCCAATGGTCAACAGTGAGATCACATCAGAAGCATCCGCCGCTGAGGTGGAGGGATATGGTGCTTCAAAGCTAACAGTTGATTCTGCCGTGAAATACCTACAACTGGCTAATAAGCTTTTTTCTCTAGCTGAACTCTACCATTTCTGTGCAAGCATTTTGGAACTTGTAATTCCTGTTTACAAAAGCACGCGAGCATATGGACAATTGGCCAAATGCCATACTCAACTTACTAATATCTACGAGTCAATTCTCGACCAGGAGTCAAGCCCAATCCCATTTACGGATGCCACATACTATAGGGTGGGTTTCTATGGTGAAAAATTTGGAAAACTAGATAGACAAGAATATGTATATCGTGAACCACGGGATGTACGACTAGGTGATATAATGGAGAAACTTAGTCACATATACGAGTCTAGGATGGATGGCAGTCACACTTTGCACATTATTCCAGATTCTCGACAAGTGAAGGCAGAAGAACTGCAACCTGGAGTTTGTTATCTGCAAATTACTGCTGTTGATCCCGTCATGGAAGATGAAGATTTGGGGAGCAGAAGGGAAAGAATCTTTTCTCTCTCCACTGGAAGTGTCCGTGCACGTGTCTTTGATCGTTTTCTGTTTGATACCCCATTTACCAAAAATGGTAAGACGCAAGGTGGATTGGAAGACCAATGGAAGCGGCGAACTGTTCTTCAGACTGAGGGCTCTTTTCCTGCCCTTGTGAATAGGCTTTTGGTAACTAAATCTGAATCTCTTGAGTTTTCCCCAGTAGAAAATGCAATCGGAATGATTGAAACCCGCACAGCTGCACTACGAAATGAACTTGAAGAGCCTCGCAGTTCTGAAGGGGATCAACTTCCCCGTCTACAAAGTCTACAGAGAATTCTTCAAGGCAGTGTTGCTGTTCAAGTGAGTTTTCTTGAAATTGTTGATCTGATTGATTTTTCTTTTGTTATTCTAAACGTCAGAAAGATTTTCTAATTGCTCTGGGTAAAATTTAAAATTTACCTCTTCTTCAGCATAAATTTTGTAGGACGCGAGTTTTTTTTTTTTTTGTCTTTTATTTGGTATGTGGAACATGATTTTAATCAGCCTCGTGGAAATTCTATGAACTTAACAGGTAAATAGTGGAGTCCTTAGTGTCTGCACAGCCTTCCTTTCGGGTGAACCTGCTACAAGGCTGCGTTCTCAAGAACTACAGCAACTAATTGCTGCTCTCCTCGAATTCATGGCTGTTTGTAAGCGTGCAATCAGAGTTCACTTTAGATTAATCGGAGAAGAAGATCAGGATTTCCACACACAGCTTGTCAATGGGTTTCAATCCCTCACGGCAGAATTGTCCCATTATATTCCCGCTATTCTATCAGAGCTTTAATGGTACTAAAAGCGTAATCTTAAACTTTCTAGCTCCTCTAGTGATAACGTGTTTATATAGGATTGTGTTCTATATTTTCTTTGTAGATGTGTAATATATTTGAAGCATGTTCATTAACGTCATTGTCTGATTTACAATGGTTGCATCATTATTTAATCTCCCTTTCCTCTTTATACACAGCAAAGTGTCAAGGCAGTTTTGGTGTTCAAAGTTTGATCTGCTAACCACCCTGTTGTGTTTTCTCAAAATTTTATATATAATTTGAACTCCATATAAAATTGATTTGAAATAGTCTTGTTTTCATTTAAATATTTATTTCATTCAAAGTTGAATTTTTACTTTCAATAACTTAATAAGGTTAAAATTGGATTATTAGTCATTTTTTTCTTATAAAAAACTTATAACACATGTTTTCTTTGACTAAAAGTAATTTATTTGTCATGTATGGCACAATTTAATTTGGATTTTTACAAACAATTCATAACAGAAAAACATTTTTGCATAAAAGACTTTAGTTAATATAATATTAATTCAATTCAAAGAATTTCAAATTGTGAATTTTTAAATATTCGTATAATGGATAGTTTAAATTAAATAAGAGACAAAAGTTATTTGAATTTCAAAAATAATAAAAACTATAAACAAAGAGTTCAATGAGGAAAATAATTTTTAATCATAAGCCCTAAATTTCATCTAAAATAGGTGAGGGAAGAACTCCAAAACATTCAATAAATTATGCAGATTTTAACAAATTCATGAATTGTACCAACTAATTGTTTTTATAAATGAAAATATTTCCAGAATTCTCATAAACTTGTCTAAATATAACTATTTGCCTGTTGGTTGAATCCTGACTTGTCTGTGGATTCTGGTTCTTCTTTCTATCCTCGCAAGGTTTTTGTTAATGGAAATTGCACTTCTTGATTGAATTTTTTTTAAGCATGTCTCTCAATTTCTTTTCCCAAAAAATTTCTTTTGCTAGTGAAATAAATATATACTGAATCAGTTATGTAGTTTATTTTCCAAATTTTCATATAATTTGTATTTATTGTACTGGATTAGAACATGTCACCATTTGAATCTACTAGTATAAGAACTAGTTCTGTAATCTGCAACATTGCATTTTTTCAAATGTCAGTCTCCAGAGCGCTAGGCTACAAAACAAAACAAACTAGTTCACAGTAATTTATGTTTAATTTTACATGTTTTTCTTTTTTATTTGGTTTACTAACTCCAATTTTGATTCATCAATCTATCTTATATATTGACAAATATGCACTTATATAAAATGGCAAAGCAATTGAGTATGTGAAAACAATTACTAGTTATGTAATATATATCGTCATCGTAGTGATAGGAACTGTAACGGTCTTGGAAATTTTAAAAAAAATACAAATAATAATTTGAGTGCGGAAGCGAAATAAAGGTTAAGGTTAATATCCATTACACGATAATTCAAAAGTAGTAACAACATCACGGAACAAATTATCTGAAAGAAATACAAAAAACGAAAAAAATAAAGTAAACTATAAAATATTTAGGATCTACTTGTAGCCTTATAGTGGATCGGGTTCGGGAACCGGGTCCTCCTAATCTGAAATGGTTAAATAAGGGGTGAGCTACACTAATCCAGTAAGGACATCACAATATATCACCGTCACAGAAGTAAAAGTTGGTAAAAAACCAAAAACAACCAATGGAGCACAAATTTTAAACAAATTCATTTATCAATAATAAGACCATTTACCGTCCACTTATCGCAGTGAGATTTATAAAACAACCTATGAAAACAATAACATTATAAATATTATGATTTCATATACAATCTGCAACGTAGCACATATTATACTTTTATATTCAAATCATCAAAACAACAATTACCCTTTTTTTATTAGTCTACTAGTATCTATGGGGATCTATAGGGGTGTCCCCGCTACACGTGAACCATTTTCATTAACAATCTTAATTCCAGGACTGTCCCCATACCCTTTCCATTATGAGCGCCAAGACACTAACCTCGATACTCCGTCCGGTATGAGGGTGAAGTGGGCC